TTAGGCAAGTATAGCATGACAAATATAGCTAGAGTTGGTATTTATAGAATAAATCACCTTCTTGTTAATGTAACAAAAACTAAGTCGATTGATTATAACACTAGGTTTGACTCGCGACTTCGTCCGCGTGGAATTAAAAAAGATAAAAGTGAGTAGCCTATATGCCCTTCCAGACTATCCTCTTCATCAATGCCAAATTTCTTCGAGATCCGTTCAGTTAAGGCTACAAACTCCATCCTTTCATCTAAACTTTCGCATTTATAATATTTGTTAATGTTGTATTGTATATCTTGGCTGGTATGGTTCAAATAATCAATATTAATAAGATTTGTAATAATTTAGGTGTGGACACATGCCTGAAGGTGTTAACATTGATCCTGATGGAGAACAAGGTGGTGGTGCAGTCGCGGGACTACAACGCGCTGTCGATGTCGGTGATGGCGCTGGTGGCGATGCTGTACCCGCTGGAGTACATGTTCCCCGCCATCCCGCTGCTGCCGAGCTGCATGAGCTGCGCCGAGCAGCTGCTGCTCGCTCCCACGCCCTTCCTCATCGGCATACCGGCTACTTTCTTGACTTATAAGAAGAATTTCAGGTATGAGTAACGATGGTCTATTTATTTACTTCAACTATTCAAAAGATTTCAGACATTTATGTAGTTTCCCGACGACTTTTATGTTTATATCCTTACCTAGATCAGTCAGCACTTGAATACTTAAAATATAACGAAACACGAGAGGATAAGTACTGGGACATCTGATACGACACGACGACCTTATAACCACCATAATATTAGAGAGAAGAAATAAGAGAAGACCAAGAATAACATACATATATGCATCAAATAAAGGAGTAAGTAGACATCGTGTCATAGGAGGTAAAGAGGATGGTACAAGAGACAGAGAAATAACAAACTCTATCGAAGAGAACGAGCATAGTTCTTAGTAAAAGATAGAGACGACCGTTTATAAAATGTGGGTGAATATTTGTGTTGTATTTTTAGATTACCAGATGATATCTGGCTCGTGGACTTGGACGCCACGAAGCTGATCTGTCCTACAGGCAGCGA